TGTGTGTGTGTGAGAGAGAGAGAGAGAGAGAGAAAGGGAGACAGAGACAGAAAGGCAGGCCCAGGGCTTCATGCAAGCTAAGTACACACTCTACCACAGGGCTGTACCCTCAGCCCCAGAAGATAACACTTAAGCAAAGATTTGAGTTAGCCAAGTTAGTATCTAATAGAAGAACACATAGCAGAGGCAACACCCAGTACAAAGGCCCTAAGGGAGGAGCTTATTTGGAGTGATAGGAATAATAGCAAAGAAGTTGATAGGACTGTACCACAGAAAGGAGAGGAGACAGCAATAGAAGACAGAGCAATAGATACACAATGAACCAGCAATAGGAAGATGAGAGAAAGTGGTCAAGTCACATAGGGCCTTGTAGGGCACTCAAAGGACTTCAGTGCTTCTGCCTGAACCAGTAAAGTGTTGTAAGTGGAGGAGAAGTGTGAGCAGGCTCGTGTTTTTACACAGTAGATGGGTGTATTCACAGCAGACTATGGGGAGCAAGGGTAGATGCAAGGAGACCAGTTAGAAGGCAGTGAGAGGTGAAGGTGGCTCAGACCAGGGAGGTGTAGTGAAGGTAGTAAAAAGTGGTCCCATCCTAGATATACTCTGAAGAGACAGACAACAGGAACAAAAAGAAGGAAATCAAAATCTCATGCCCCATTAAGTACTGTTGATATTAACTTATTTATTCTAGCTAAATGTCTCCTCCAGTCACAAAGCCATCCAAGTACACTCTCCTCAGTTATACAGATTGGCCCTACTTGGTTCTCACTCCTCAGTCCACTCCAGTCCAGCTTTCATCTCTGTCACTCTGCTGAAACTGCTCTGACCAAAGACATCAATTAGTACCTCAATGTTCCTCAATCTACTAGATACTTACCTGTCATTATCTTATAACAGCACAGTGGCGAACAATGACTTCCCTCTTCTGTGAATCTCCTCATTTTTGTCCTTCCTTAACCCGACTTTCCTGAGTTCCTTCCACCTCTCTGTCCCCTCCAAACATCTACATGTAGAGGTTTCTGCTTAGTCTCGGGGCCTTTTCCCCTCTAATTCCACACATTCTCTTCTCCAAACTTATTTACTGCCATTGCTTAAAATATTGCCTATCTGCTGGTGATCTACAAAGCATGTCTACCTGAGCTGAGACTGTGGCTCAGTGATAGAACACTTGCCTAGCATTTGCCAGGCCCTGAATTCAATCCCGTTAAACCTTCACACTCTCACCTTAACACTGAGCTATATCCCCATCCCTTTTTAAAATTTTGGGACAGGGTCTCACTAAGTTGCCAAATTGTTCAGGTTGGAGATCCAAACTTACAATCCAAATTTACAATCCTCCTGCCTCAGCCTCCCACAGTGCTGGCATTACAGGCATGCACTACCACACCCACCTCAAAATTAAATCTTGAACCCTCTCAAGCCTCCTTCTCTGCTTTCATTCATTCATTCACTCAACATTAACTGAGCCACAATGCTGGGCATGGTGGTGCATACCTGTAAACCCAGTACTCAGGAAGCTGAGGCAGGAGGATCACTAAGAGTTTGAGGCCAGCCTGGGGTACATATTGTGTTCAAGGCCAGCTAAACTACACAGCAAGACCCTGTCTAAACAAAACAAAACAAATTTACTGAGCCACTATGATATGCCAATCACAATGGATGGCAGTAGAGTAAAATGATGAGAGAGAATAAAAGGTACAGAAGAGAGAGTTATACAAGAGAAACTTACAAATATGTAAGAAATTACAATTGCATACAGCTCTATGAAAGAGGTGGTATATGATGTTATAGGAGAGGAGCCTATTTCAGCAGGGGAGGGCCTAGTAAGAGCAGACAACTTCCCTTAGGAAATAAAGTACCGAGTTCAATCCCTGGTAGAAGAAAGAAAAGAAAAGAAAAGAAAAGAAAAGAAAAGAAAATACAAGACAAGACAGAAAGGAAAGAAAGAAAGGAAAGAAAGAAAGAAAGAAGAGAAAAAAGAAAAGAAAAAAGAAAGAAAGAAAGAATTCCTGTACTGGGAAAACTAGATATCCAAAAATAAGAGGCAAGACAGACAGACAGAGACAGAGAGAGAGAGGAAAGAAACTGGATAGCCACTTGTAGAAGACTAAAACTTGAGCCCTATCTCTCACCCTTTATAAAAATAAATTCAAAATGGATCAAACACCTAGGTATGAGACCTGAAACTTTGAAACTGCTAAAAGAAAAGATGGAAGTAACACTTGAAGCCATAGGCACAGGCAAAGACTTCCTGAATAGGACTCCAATAGCACAGGAAATAATAGCAAGAATCAATAAATAGGACTACATCAAATTAGTTTCTGCACAGCCAGGGAGAATGAAGAGACTGCCTACAGAATGGGAGGAAATCTCTGACAGCTACTCTTCCAACAGAGGGCTGATTATCTATAACATATAATGAATTCAAAAAATGCAACACCAAAAAATCAAATAGCCCAATCAATAAATGGGCAAATGAACTAAATAGACACGTCTCGAAAGAAGTATAAATGGCCAGTAAGTATGTGAAAACATGTTCAACATCTTCAGCCATTAGGGAAATGCAAGTCAAAACTACACTGAGATTTCATCTCACTCTATTCAGAATGGCTATCATCAAGAATACAGAAAACAATAAATGCTGGTGAGTATATGGAGGAAGGGGAGAAGGAATCTTTTTTTTTGGTGTGCTGGAAGTTGAGACAGAGTCTGGGTATGTAATTCAGGCTGCCCTTGAACTCACTATGTAACACAGCCTGGCCTTAAATTTGCAGCAATCCTCCTCCCTCACCCTCCTGCTGGGATTACAGGTATGTGCCAACATGCCTGGCTAGGAAAAGGAACCCTTTTACACTGCTGGTAGAAATGTAAATCAGTACAGACACTATGGAAATTAACATGGAGTTTCCTCAAAAACCTAAAAAATAGATTTACCATGTGATCTAGCTATACCACTGCTTCGTATATACCTGAAGGAATTAAAGTCAGAATGCTATAGGGATAGATGCATACCCATTTTTATTGCAGCACGATTCACAATTGCCAAGATATGGGGCCATCAACAGATGAATGGATAAAGAAATGTGGTATATATACACAAAGGAATATTTGGCTATAAAGAAGAAACAAATTTTGTTATTTTCAGGATTTGGAGATCACTACCTTGAATGAAATAACCAAACTCAGAAAGATAAATGTACCACATTCCCAATACACAGAATCTAGAAAAGATGACAAAAAAGTAGAAGGAAGACTATTGTTAGACAAGAAGAGGAGAATAAAGGTGAGGGGATATAAGGTCGGGTAATGGGGGGATGGATGGGGAAGAGGCAAGACAGGTGACGGGGGGAATGATCAAAGTGTGTTATGTACATATACAAATCTGCCAGAATTAAACCTATGAATCTGTATAACCAATATACATTAAGAAAATGATGTGAAAAAGAAAAAGAAAGAAAAAAATTGTGAGCCAGGCATTGTGTCACATGTATGTTGTCCCAGCACTATGGAAAGCTGAGGCAGAAGGATCACAAGTTCAAGTTCACCCAGAGCAACTTAATGACTTAGTGAGATTTTGGTTCAAAATTTTTAAAAAAATATTTTTTTTAAAGAATGGGGATGTGTCATGCTCGCTTTGGCAGCACATAATACTAAAAATGGGGATGTGGCTCAGTGTGAGCCTGGGTTCAATCCTCAGTATCACAGAAACAAAAAACAGCCAGGTATGGTGGAGCACACTTGCAACCCCAGTACTGTGGGAGACTGAGGCACAGGGATTCAAAGTCTAGCCCATCCTGGTCAACTTAAGGAGACCTGTCTCAAAATAAAAACAAACAAAGGGCTGAGGACATACCTCAGTGCAAAGACCCTGGGTTATTGATTTGGGGAGGGGGGCGAAGAGGAGGAGAGAGAAAAAAGAGATGAGAGAAGAGAGAAATAGCCAAGAAGTATAAGAAAGAAGGAAGCAGAGGAGAGGAGAGAAGAAAAAGAAAAGAAAGAAAGGTGAATGAATTCTGAATGAAGGTACATGTTAACTCTGCACTGGGCTAACACTGGGGAAAAAATCTTTCCCATTTCAGTACATACCACTCCCCTAATCTTCCTGTATCTCCCCCTCCAAGTCAATCCATCACTAACTACTACTGAAATAACCTTCAGAATATAACTCCATTCATCTGTTCTGCTCCATCTCCACTGCTACCACTGTGGGCCACCACTCTCCCTTGTCTCTTGCCAGGACTTCAGCCCAGCCTGCTAAGGGGCTCCCCAAATTGACACTTGCCCCCTCTTACCCACTCTCTTTACAATGGCCAGCAGGGCATCTTTAAAAATTTAATTCTAATAATACTACTACCCTGTTTTCTACCCTTCAGTAGCCTCCAACTGAGTGTAGGATAAATCTCAACCCTTCTAGTAGCCCACAAAGTCCTGCATGCTCCATCCCTGCCCACTTCTCAAATCTTACT